GAAGGTTGTTACAATCAATTAGGCAGTTCCAATTATGTATTATAGAGTCTCAATAAAATAAATGGAAAAAAAGTTAAAGTTAATTACAATCAAATTAGACAGTCCGAATTAAGTATTATAGAGTTCCAATAAGGAGAAGTTGAAGGTTATTACAATTAAATAAGGTAGTCACAATTAAGTATTATAAAGTTTCAATAAAAAGGTTGAAGGTTATTACAATCAAATTAGGCAGTCTCAATTAAGGGTTTGTTCTGATTGACTAAACTGAGCTGAACTGAACGCATTAAACTTATTGGAGCTGAACAGAATTGAACTAAATATTTTATGAGGGAAGGAAATTAAGATAAGAATTGAAGGTAATTACAATCAAATTAAGTAATCCCAAATAAGTATTATAGAATCTCAATATAGAATAGTACAGTTGAAGGTTATTACAATCAAATTAGGCATACCCAATTAAGTATTATGTAGTCCCAAAATCACAATAAACAATATTTGAAGGTTATTACAATCAAATTAGGCAGTCCCAATTAAGTATTATATAGTCTCAAATCCCAATAAAGAATATTTGGAGGTTATTACATTTAAATTAGGCAGTCTCAATTCAGTATTATATAGTCCCAAATCCCAATAAAGAATATTTGAAAGTTATACAATCAAATTAGTGAAGGAGTTATGTCTTCGTCGTGTGCAATTACTAGATATATAATTGGATCAAATTATGGAGATAATTAAGTTCGTACATTTGGGTTGTCGTTTTGCCATAGCTAGAGGTACTAACGATCTTTGGACTAGTAAAATAGCCCAAAACCCAATTGGACGGATCCTATAAGGTCACACAAAGGGGCTATATCGAGCATTAGAGGACGAGGCCCATCATGGGCCTCATCACTCTAGGTGGCCGGCCATGTAGTGGATTAGAAGGAGTTTTGGGCTTCGTGCCCTAGTCTAATTATAATGAGATTATAAATAGGCTAGGTGCCTAGGTTTGCAGGATGTAAGCAATTGACTGATCAGTGTGATCAAACCCTAATTAGCAAACACGAAACCCAACCCCTCTCATAGTCCTCTCTCTCACGGCTCTCTCCTCCTCCTAGGCGCCGGTGGTGTGTCGCGGTGGTGGTGGTTCGTGCGGTGGTCGGTTGTCCATAAAGGTAGTGATCGCGGTTTTCCTCAATCACTCGACCAATCTAGTATTGGTGGACAGCTTGTTCGAATCTCGTGGACTAAGTAGAGGAGCAACGCTTGGGGCTCTATTCTCTCCCTGATTTGCATGTCGAATAGCTTCGTGGAATTCACGCGTCAAAGGTATGATTATGTGTCTTGTGTGTTATGCATGTGATCTTGGGATTGGCACTTGATTGAATATGATTCATGTTTTTCCGCTGCGTAGTACCTATAAACTCCTACAATTAGACAGTTCCAATTATGTATAATATAGTCCTAAATCCCAATATTTGAAGGTTATTACAATAAAAAACATAAATATTACATTTAATTCATTAAAAAAAAAAAAAGACAAACAAAATCAACTTCTAACACTTTGTTTGGATTGAGAGAATTGGGGAAAAGAAAGAGAAAAGAAAAGAAGAGATCTATCATCTCTTTTTTGGATACCTTATAGAAGGGAAGGAAAAAGAAATGGAAGGATTCTTTTTTCCCTCCCTCCTATAATAAACCAAATCCTTTCAATGTTGGAATTATATGATTGAGGGAAAAATGTAACCTTATTGTCTATATCCCTTTCTTTATAAAACTTATCTGAACTCATTTAACCTTATATAGTAAAACTTAATTATTTTAGTCTTAATTTGTCTAATCTTTATCATAACTTATTTTTCCTGAACTGAATTTATCTGAACTGAACTGAATATATTTGAACTTATTACAACTAAAATAGGTGAAAATAAGGTGAACAAAACTTACCTGAACTGATTACAAAATGATGCTAGTTAGAAAGTTTTTAACAATTCATTTTCTAATGAAATTTGCTTTTATTTATTTATTTTTTATCAAATGACCCCATTAAAATTTATAAAATGCATTTTGACTTCGTTAAATATTTTTCCTGGATCCACGACTAACTTTAATCATAACTAACTTAAATTTTAGGACCTAAAGAATGTTTCCATAACTAAAGTTCAATTAAATATAAGTTCGAATTATAACTAAAGTAATGTCAATCATAATTATAGTTTAACACAAGTTTGTATGTACCCTAATGCAATGAGCATACCCAAACATGATATTATACCATTTAAACTTAGAAATTTTTACATGCTATAAATATGTGTATGACTGCAAAAAAGTTTTTGAACTTACATACATAATCTCATTTGGATAAAAACAAAAAAAAAAAAACAAGGGTGTCATTTTCGGTAAAATGATAAAAATGCAATTTATTAAGATCAACCTTTTCTTTTATCATACCCTAACAAGGTAGGGATACTCACCCAAGATCTGGAAACACCCAATTATCTTAACTTCAAAAGCTAATAATCTTAACTTTTCATAAAAACTACCTCCACCACTAAAAGCTACTTGAATCACTCCTTTGCCAAACACTCACATTTTTTGTTAAACAATGGTTTGATTTGGTCAAACTACTAAAAGCTAACGCCGAACACGCCCTAAAAAAATACTTTTTGGTGATTTAAAAAAAAGTAGGTGAATAATTAATGAATTTAAAAATATATGTATACACATAAATAGATTAATTAGATTAGCTTACATAATGGGTTAGTGGGTGTCAATGTAATTAATCAATGGTTGATAATTTTTTTTAACATTAGCCTATTGTATACGAGGTTTACAATTGAAGTACTCCAAGTGTATTTGTGATGTATTTGTAATGATTTTTTGATTTTTTTAATTTTTTAATAAAAAGCCTCGAAGGCAACTAATTCTCATTCATAGAAATGTCAGCCTCCACAAGAGGTACAATGCTATCCGGAAAGTTTGACAACCAGACAATAGTTTTTTTTGATATACCTACAAATAATTATAGAAAATAAAAGATATATACTACTTCGTAATATTTACATAATATATATTCTAACAGTTAAAAATTATATTGTTATATTTTAACTAATTCTTTTGGCAAAAGGATAGGATTAGTAAAAAAAAAAATATATATATACCATAATTTAAGGAAAACTAAAGGCACGTTTCAATTATCATATCATTTGGCCGACTGATTTTTGTAACTTGAGTTAAATTTTTTTTACAACTACTTGAGATAATTAAGGATAGATATTATTTAAAATATCACCATAGTTAAAGGAAACCGCTGAGTATATTTTTTTTCGTAAAATAAAAAAATAAAAATAAAAATTGGTATGTTTCAATGCAATTTATATCTTTTTTTTTTTTGAGGAAAATGCAATTTATATCTTTTTATTAACAAAAGCCGCACATTTTTTTTTTTAATATGATACCACATGTTAGAATTTTACCGTACTTATACACTAGCTTTGTTTTGCTTTGATTGGGAATTTGGGAGATAGAGAAACCGAGAACTGCTTTGCAAATTGCAACTGGCCAAAAATATAATTATTTTTTGTTCTGAGAAAAAAATTACGAGTAACAATTTTTTTTTTTTTTTTTATAAAAAACAGATTCTTAATTAAATAATCGTCAAACAATAAATGAAAGATTTACCCTTGTAATTTTAATCATAATTAAAATAACAAAAATATACCGTAAAAAAATCAAATATTGAAAAGGATATATCCCGTAAAAAAAAATCAAATATTGAAAAGGATATATCCCGTAAAAAAAAATCAAATATTGAAAAAGATTTTGTCGTATATTTTCTCCCCAAATAATGCTCTCTAAATCAAAAAAAAAAAAAAAAAAAAGGTTCATCAATGGTGTTATTTTCAACATTCAACAATGGCGTATTACTCAAAAATCATACGACTAATAAAAATTAAACACAAAATAATACGACTAATAAAAATTAATGAAATTATAAGATAATACATGTTTTTTTAACCAAATTATCTATACATATAATTAAATTGATTTCAATCTCATTAACTAATTTTAATTGACGCATAAATATGATGATTAACCATTAATATATTGATTTCATATATACTTTGGTAATTTAAGGATGCGTTTTGGACAAAAAATAAAGGTTAAAGGTTGAAGATGGAGTGCACCATTAAAAAGGTTGAAACTATCAATATAAGTATGAAGCTTTTGAAATAGGAATGAAACCGTACAAATGCTATTTAAAAAAAAAATATTTTGAACGACTATTATCAAATTTATAATTAAAATATTTGGATGATTGTTTTTCATATTATAATGTGGAAAATTTTTTACCCTCTAAAAGTTAGAAAACAAACAATACTTTGCTGACTGGTTGTTGATTGGGCATGTGTTAAATGATGTGTAAATTAGATTTTTAATTTTTTTTTAAAAATGTAATATTCAAAGGCTTAGATTAAGCAACAAACAATATCAACGGTTCAGATTTAATATCTTATTGTAGTCGTCCGTAGTCGTCAGTAGTCGTCCATAGTCTACGACTACGCTAGAAGCTTCGTAATTCAATCCATCTATATAAAGTCGAATATGTTCTTGTTGATCTAAATTAGAGCTGGCCAAAAGTTGTTTTTATCATACCCTATGTATAAAGAAATTAAAAGAGCTTTAAGGGCCTATTCTCTTCACCTTTTAGTTTAGTTTAGTTCAGTTTCAATCTATTTAATTCAGTTCAATTCCTAATTTTCTTTTCTCATAAGCAATTCAGTTCAGTTTAGTTCAGTTCAGTTAAGCTCCAATCATTTTAGTTCATTTCAGCTCAGCCAGAACAAGCCCCAATACTCTATTCTTTTGAGCTTTGAGCAGAGCTCATAAGAGTTTAGGGTTGCTCAGTAGATATCAGCAGAATAGAGGAGATTTCAGTAGAGCAACGATGATTATTATTATTATTATTATTATTATTGGCAAGGGAATTGATTCTTGGTCCCTATTCTTACACTATATATATCATTACTACAACCACAATTGTGATCCACACCAAACCACATTCACGTATATTGCACTCTCACCTTTTTAAGCTAAGAATATGTCTCAAATCCAGGTACGTCCGAGTTTTCTTCAACTTTGTCTGTCACAATTCGTGTGTATGTGCAATTAATAACATAAACAGTTGTAATATAGAATTTTCATTATACTATTGTTGCAGAGGTTCGGACCATACGGTGACCAAGAGGCCGTAGAAAACTTTTCGTTGAAACTCGAAGGATCTGATCGAATCAAAGAAGTAATTGTTAGGGCAGGATTCGTTGTGGATGCAATCGGTCTCACCATTACTAGCGCCAATGGGGATTCTGAAACTACCATGTTTGGTGGCAATGGCGGACTTGAAAACAAGGTCATACATACATACATGCTTATCAATTAAGCTTATACCTTTTTTTTTTGTCATAGCACCATTTAAGAGATTAACAATTTTTGTTTATAGCATGACATTGTTGTAAATAAATCGAGAACTTTTATTTTAAAAATGGGCCCCACATTAATGATGATTGGATGAAATTCTTGATTTATTTACAAAACTGTCATGTGATAAACAAAAAATTGTAACCGGGGCTTTTTTTTTTTTTTCTTAATTGTTCTTCGTTTTTTATGATATTAAATAATAATCATAATTTAATTTTTCTTTGTATCATGAAGATTAAGCTCCAAATTGGTGAATACATAACTGGAATAAGTGGGATTGCTAAGGATTCCTTCATATCCCAAATGAGGATCCATACTACTTTGCATCCTCGTGGACACGGGCCATATGGAAACAATCAACTTAATGGCGGTTGCGAATTCAAATCTCCAATGCCATTAGCTCAAAATGATCGTTTTGTTGGATTATTTGGAACCGCTCATGAGAACCTAGTTTCCGTTGGACTCTATGTTGAAAAGGTACGTAACTTTTCTGTTTTTTATGTTATAACTTCCTTAAGGAATTTATTTATTTTTATTTTATTTCATATTATTTTTTAAATTGCTAACTTTTGTTTAAAATTTAGGGATGCCAATGTTGAAGACTTGAAGTTTGAGGCAGTTGTGGAGGCTGCCATATAATGTGTTCTCTCTCTTTTTAAGTTTGTGTTGCATTAAATAAGCCACATGCCTCGATCTAAGTGGCAAGTCAAGTGATCAATGTAATTGTAAACTTGACATAGTGTATTATATTCATCTATGTTCGACTCTTGTTTGATCAATATAATATATTTACTTTCTACCTAACAATTTGTGTTTTTACTATTTACCGCTTCCATTCTACAATCTACAATACTAATATAGCATCATATTCTTGCCCGTATGTAGGGAATATGCAAGGGGTATGTATACAACAATTTAGTTAATCATTAAAAAATAATGATTAACTAAATTGTTGTATACACGAGGGTGTATAATATACCCATAAGTAGTTTGTACATCTATCTATTAAACATGACTTTATTTCTCCAAATCACCATTCAAAAATAATGCTTAATCGGAATGGTAATATATACCCGGGTGCAAAATGCATCCATAAGTATATATTTTCTTCTCTATTTGATGATTGTTATACATAAGTCATCATATAAAGAACAAAACCCAACTAAAGATTAGGTGGATGCACAGGTGTGTTGGTTGTAGTGCATAAAGCAGTAGGATGTGTGTGAGAAATTTAGCTACTATCTCCGTTTTTAAATACTTGACCCATTTCTCCTGGGCACATATATGTCGATACAAATCTATGATCAATTATATATGTAAATATTAATAAGTATAAATTCTAACAATTTAAAATCAATACTCTATAGTATTGAGACGATTCCAGCTAATGTTACAATGTACGTGGTTCGATTCGAAACGTGGTACGGAAACAGATACGCGGCACGCTACACATGATGAATCCGGTACGATTGGGTACGAAATAAATAAATTAATAAAATATAAGGGTGATTTTTATTAATAAGATTTTGCTTTAGAAAATAATATAAAACGTAGTTGTATCAGTCGTAGCTTGAATTTATGTGGGTTAGTGAATTGCTCAAGAAAATAGAGTACATAATATATACTTGTATAATAAAAAGCCCCAAGATTTAAGCCCATACGGAATAGAACCTTAGCCGCCACACTATGTACTACTGTGTAAAACAGGAGAGAGGAGAAAGAAAAACTACTCCTAAGATATAAAATCAGAAGAGAGAGAAAATGCACTGGAAATATCGGGAAGAAACCATTGAACGTTGCACAGGAAGAATAATCGCTTAGCTGCTACCAGAGTCGCCTCCTTCAACAATCCAGATCGCAAACCCCAGCGACCAAAGTTCCGCATTCCGATACGCGCGACTCAGTTCGCGATTCGTGGCTACGTATCGCGAACCTTGTAACACTGCTTCCAACAAGTACATATAATATTATTTTTTTCTTACGTATACATAAGAAACATTAGTCAAAGTAGATTAATGAATAGTGTAAAAGTAGAAATGAAGCAAGTATTAAAAAAACGGATGAGTATTATTTAGAAAGTTGGGTCAGAGTTGAGTATTTTTAAGAGTATTACGTTAAGTTTATGCTCCTACTTTATTAGCTTTTGTTGTTTGCTATCTTGTGTATATGGCTCTTGTATTTCGTAAAGCGGTATGTACAAATATATTCAGTTTCTTTATGTAACTTGCTTCATATTTAGCTTCAATGCGGTGTATGTAGACAGTTTTCTACTCTCACTGGCAAATCAATGCAACGAATATGAAACGAACGTAGTGTATAATTTAGGGAAATTGTTACGTGGACTCCTTAGGTTTAAAAAATGCACCATGTACCCCTGAAAATGAAACTTTTAAATGTATTGTGTACCCTTGTTTGTAAAAAAATTAAAAAATATACACCAAATACCTTGACCATCGAAAAAATGCACATACCATTTACTTATCAAACTAAAATCCTGCCCACACACTAACTCCCTTATAATACTTTATATTTATATAGTAGAACTGCTTAAGATCAAAATTCACATCAAAATTTGAACTCCATCGATCATTCTAAATCCTAAACGTTTGAGTGTTAGAATTTGATTTATTAACTAAGTGTTACTTTTTAGGAGTTACTCGATCAATTGTAGGTTACTCGGTTTGGAATACTTGGTCAGAGGTCAATTGGTCGGTCAAATTAAAGGTTACTTGGTCAGCCTTTACTCGAACGATCAGAGGTTACCCGGTCAATTAGGGGTCACTCGATTATTTTTGTAATCACATGGACATTTTTGTTATATAATTTCTTTCTAAATCTTAGTGCTCAACTCAAATGACGCAATTTAATTAAAAAAATAGAGGAAGTACGATTAATGTTTTCAATTCACTTAGGTCATCATCAAACATCCTTGAGTCATTTTTAGCTTTTACCTTATAATTTGTTGTTAAAAACGAATTTGGGCCACACTCAACCAAGAGAGAGATTTCACTTTACTAGTTCAAAAGAGTTTCATTCCAAAACCATATGACAATATAAAATAGGAGGAGTTGTCCGATCCTTTAGCCTTATAATGTAGGAGGACATGATTTGGACATTATAAAATAAACATACACATTGTATTCTTTTATAAAGATAATACGAAATATTTATTAGTATACGTAACCACTGAAGAGATAAAAGATAATACAAAGTAGGCCACTTTATACTTTTATAGTATACATGATATGTGGCTTATTGAAAACAAAGAAATTCCACGGCACATATATTATAGATCATCGTGGAAGACCTTATTTATACATACAAAGTAAATAGTAATATAATTGCATTATATTATAGTAACGAGAGAGTTCGTTGTACAACACCCTCATCAAGAGATTGAGGGCATTAGCAGTCCTGATTGATGATTGATTACTGGAGATGACATAAACCAATGAAAAAACTATTAGTTGCATATAAATGTGTAGTAATAGATTGTATATTCTTAATAAATCGATTTTATCGAAATGGATTTATCGAGCTATATTACCTTGAAGTTAACTATGAGTTCACATAGGAAGTTAAACAAGAAAATAATTTGTGAGATAACATATTGAGATAATATATATAGTACCTGTTTGACATAGAGTCCGATAGACTCAACATAGTTGTTGTGTATAGTTCCGAAGAATCCAACAACACGACCACCTGATGGTACTTGTGAGCGAAATTCGGACAAATAGTTGGTGTACGGTCCACCTCCAAATGGTCCGTAGCCATCCACACGCAAATTAGTATGTAACTTAAGCTTTGTCAAGCAACGATTTCCTTGCCATTCTCCGATCCACCCACTTACATTTGTTATAAACTCGCCAGATTGGAGTGTAATCTGTATAAATAGCATGTAAAAATCATTTTGGCATAACATAAGGTTTAATTTACTTTTTTGGAATACAAGATAATTTTTTATGTTTCTGTGATAATCATCTTTAAAACGACTACATTATTGTATTCAAATAGGATTGACTGATTGTTTTAAAAAATATATAAATTATAAAAATGATATTTGAAATAGAAAAATGAACTTACAAAAGAAAACTTAATATTTATAAGATTGACGAAATAAATCATAAATCATAAATCAATCGATTAAAATTGAGTATAGTGGTAATCATTATTTAAAATACGACAATAGTAGAGCAGGAGGTATTAACCTTGTGTTCAGCGTTTCCACCATCACCACCAAACTTTTGACGAGTCTTTGTTGTGACAAACGTGAATGAATCAACAATTGCTCCAGTCTTTATGATTATCTCTCTCAAATTTTCCGAAGGTTCAAGCAATATAGACCATTGATGTCCTGTCTGATAGCCAAAAGGCCCGAGTTTCTCAACAGTCTGACTTTGCTGCAATCAAAATCAATACCCATTTTAATTATATTGAATAAAAAAATTACTACGAGTAATTTATTTTTTGGGTTTCAACAAAATTCAAATTGTTGTAACTAAACTAGAAAATAACCTTTTATTGTTGATGATGGAAGGATCTAAGATAGCAAAAAACTAAAAAAATGTCGACTACGTACGGCATGCCTTTAGTATGCAGATTATTTATGAATGTCGACTTTAATAAACTTATCATCTAAATTAAGTGTCTCCGCGAAAGATAATAATATTTTAAATATTTACAAAAATATTATTTTTTTTAAATCATGTAATTTACAAAAAAAAAAAAAATAATAAAAAAAAAAATTAATTGATATTTTACATTTCCCAAAACAAGACATGATATATACTAACTCCGTTTTTATTTAGTTGACATGTTTTGACTTTAGCACTATTTACACATCTTCGTTTGACCGTGTTTTGTGCGTTATACGTAATGAAAACTATAGTCATGTGGGATCTTGTTAGATTCGTCACGTTATATACTTTCAAAATATCAACTTTGCATAATTTTTGTTTATCGATAATTAGAGATATTAATGATTCAATAAATGCATTGGCAAACATGACTAAAGAAACGTGTTAACTAAAAAGAAACGGAGGAAGTAGTAGTGTAATATTCCCTCAGTCCTATAATATAACTCTTGTTTGTATTTTTTCATGGTATTTAAGAAATAGAGGAAATAGTGGATGAAGTACATTAATACAAGTTAAAAGTATAATTATAGATAAGTTAGAGAGAGAAGGTGAAAAAAATTACAAAGCACGTGCAAAATAAAATATTTTTCCTAAAAAAGCAGGGAAATTTTGGAGGGACAAAACAGCACAGGATGTGACTCGTGTCACTCCTACATCCGGTGTCTATATTAGTATTAAATAATTGATTGATTGGTGATAGAGGAAGCAGATAATTACATACCTTTTCAGCATAGACTCCAACGGAAACAAGGTTGTCATGAGCAGTTCCAAAGAATCCAACAATACGGTCATTTTGAGGTACCGGCATTGGTGATTTGAATTCGTAGCCTCCCTTAAGCTGATCAGTTCCATACGGCCCGTGTCCACGAGGATGCAAAGTAGTATGGATCTTCATTTGGGATATGAAGGAATCCTTAGCAAACCCACTTATTCCAGTTATGTATTCTCCAATTTGGAGCTTGATCTTTTATAAAACAAAAACAAATAAACCATATCATTATTATATTATTGGAATAAAATACTAAAAGGAAAAGAAAATAATATTATTACTTTTCGTTTTAAATCATTATAACTGTTTGATTGTTCAAAAAAAAATTTAATAAAATAAAATTTATAACTGTTTGACATTTTTTATTTATATTTTATGTCAAATCGTTGCAAATGATTTAAAATGGTGGTAATAACCTTGTATTGCTGTCCGCCATTGCCGCCAAACTAGGTAGTATCGGATTGTCCATTGGCATCGGTTATGGTGAGGCCGATCGCATCCACAATGAACCCCGACCTTATTACTACTTCTGTGATTCTATCAGATCCTTGGAGCATCAACGAGAAGTTTTGTACAGCTTCCTTGTCACCATATGGTCCGTACTTCTGCATAAATAGTAAGCATAAATAAACTTAAAAAAAAAGTTTATGGCTATTTATTTAGTATAAGTCACATACAAATGAATTAAGAAAGGCAAAATTGAAGTAAGATAATACGTACCTGGATTTGAGCCATATTCTTGGATTACAAATTAAGGTAAAGCTTAGCTAGTAGTTGTATGTTTATAATTTCGTGTGTACGTAGTGATTTATGAGTTATAGCAATGGTTTATATATATAGTGTGAGAATGGGACCAAGAATAAATTCTGTCATACATGCCAAAACACAAGGAAGTTATAATGCATAACAATTATGCACAACTGATTTTACATAACAAACTTTTTTACCTCTCAATAGTACTATTGTTACTATTCAGTAGTATTACTGACAGGTTTTTAATACTATTGTAGCATGAAAAGTACTACTGAAAATGTTTAGTAGTACTCCCTCCCAAATAATCAAATTGTTATTAATTTTTGCCGCTTAGTAGTACAATCAAATTTGTTATTAATGCAACAAATGTGATGTAACAAATATTATAGAGATGTAGGTGGGATGATTAAAAAAATGATTACCATTATGTTAATTTTTTATTGGCTTATTTTAATTTATTTTTAATATCAAGATTAATTATAATTCTTTTCTCAAAAAAAAAAATTATAATTCACTTATTTAATTTTTTAAAATACATTTATTACTTTTCAAATAATTTTTATTTTTATTTTTATTTTGAAAACATTTTTATTTTATTTTATAGTTTTATAATTGATATGCGAAATTTAGTTTTTATTATAAATGAAATTAAAAAAAAATTAATAGAGTGATTATGAAAATATTAAAAAAAAAATAATAAGTACAAAATAAATTTTAAAAACAGAAAAATATTAATGATTATTTTAACATAAAAATTAAATAAAATTGGTCAATAAAAAATTAAATACCATAGAATTTTCAGATATAGGTGTTATATATATATATATATATATATATATATATATATATATATATATATATATATATAAGACAGGTGTTATTATATTCCTAGTGTTGATTGTGGAATGAGGATCTAAGATAATATAAATGGATAAGAAACAATGAGAAAATAAAGTAAAGAATCGGAGAATAATATAATTGGAGTAAGAATCTAATCTAAGAGAAATAAAAGTAAAAGCCATGCCTATATATATATATATATATATATATATATATATATATATATAAGGAATAATGTGTATGGTTAAAAAAAAACTTTGTATATAAGAATCCTAGATACTGTAAGCAATTGGGCACAATTTATTAACTTAAACCCTATTCTTTTGGGCTGATATTGAACTGAACAAATTTGAAATTTAATAATAATAATAATAATAATCATCGTATTTGACATAGAATAACTCGTATACTAATGGCCCGTTCTCATACGATTATTTTCAGTTCAGTTTAGTTCAGCTCTAATAAGTTTAGTTCAGTTCAGTTCAGCTCATAATTTCCTTCTCTTATAAAATATTCAGTTCAGATTTAATCAGTTCAGTTCATCTGAGTTCAGTCAATGAGAACAGGCTCTTATAAGTTTAGTTTTTTTTTTTTTTTTTTTTTTTTTTTTTTTTTTTTTTTTTACACGGTAAGATATAATGTACCCTTTCTATCATATTGGGGTGGGGATTGATCCCCTGCCACTAGGGGAGAGATGTAGTCATGTAGGGACAATTCCTCCAATTTGGATCCTCAGTTGCATTAGGTAGATAGGATAGCTGGTCCTACTGATAATTAAATGGTTAAATTAATTCATCTTATTATATTCAAACTAATTAACCCAAAATGTATAAGGAGAATGCTAATAACTCCAAATCAAAAATTTGATATGATGTTACTGCGGCATCTGATGCAAAATTTGTAGATTAGGACATATTGAAATTAAATTTAGTGCGATTGACTTCATCGATAATATGAACTCAGTTTCATATTATTTGTAAAACGTAAATAAGAAGTATTTTTTTTAAAAAAATAAAATAAGGCAAAAGTTGAAAAATTATTAATCTAATTGATGTATGTGATTTATTTTACTTACATAAAAGAATTAAAAGTTAAAATATTGGAGTAAAACTAACATTAAATACACCGAAACGTGTGATTTTTTCATGCATTCCTAACTTAATACTCCATTATTTCAATCAATATAATTATTCCTTATCTAACGCCTCGGGGTGCTCGTTAGCAAAATTCATAAAATAAAACAATAGTTATACACGGAATTTATTCTCATTCTCTCTCTCATTCTTATTTATTTATTTATTTTGAGTAGATTATCGTTCTCTTTTCTCGCACTATATATAACATTATTACATTCACAATAATGATCCACACATCGTAACAAATTCACTGAACACTTAACTTGTGAACTTTCTACTACTAATAGCTAAGCCTCACCTTTGTAAACTAAGAATATGGCTCAAATCCAGGTACGTAAGATTTTTCTGTAACATTGCTTGCATATAATTCTTTTATTTGTTTGTGCTAATAACATCAAAATAAATATAATTAGTTCTAATATGAATATGTTATTGTTGTAGAGGTACGGACCATACGGTGACAAAGAGGCCGTAGAAAACTTTTCGTTCCAGCTTGAAGGATCTGAAAGAATCAAAGAAGTAGTTGTAAGGGCCGGATTCGTTGTGGATGCGATCGGGCTCACCGTCGCAAGCCCCAATGGGGATAGCGACACTAACATGTTTGGTGGCAATGGCGGACTTGAATACAAGGTCATACACATACAACTCCGTATTTCATAATCATGATTTTATTTTTCTTTATGTATCGTGAAGATTAAGCTTAAGATTGGTGAATACATAACTGGAATAAGTGGGAAGACTAAAGATTCACTCATATCCAAACTGAGGATACATACGAATTTGCACCCTCGTGGACACGGTCCGTATGGAACTAATGAACTTAACGGTGGTTGCGAATTCAGATCTCCAATGCCATTAGCTGTAAATGATCGTTTTGTTGGATTATTTGGAACTGCACAAGACAACCTTGTTGCTGTTGGACTCTATGTTGAAAAGGTAACTACCATGTCATATTTCAAACAACCACTACTTTCAGTTTTTACTTAACTTAAAGAGAGAGTACACGTTATATTATTTATTTATTTATCGATTTTTATTTTATAAGTTCTGATTAAGAATTTCTTTGTATAATTTAGGGATGCAGTTGCTCCTACTGAGGTTGGAGACTTGAATCGAAGTTTGAGGCAATTGTGGAAGCTGCCATACAATATCAAGCAATGTGTACTTTCTCTTTCAAGTTTGTGTTGCATCAAATAAGCCACATGTACTAAACTCTATTTAAGTGGCATGTCAAGTGATCAATGTATTCGTACATTTGACATAATGTATTATTATTATCGTCTATGTTTGACTCTTGTTTGATCAATATAATATAAGGAGTTTTCTTACCTTAAAAAAAATTTAAAAATAATAGTAATATAAGGAGCATTTAAAAAATTTAACAATTTATGCCTTTTCTAAGCCATTTCCCATATTGGGTATACGCCACCACCCAAAGAATATTTTAGTGTGGCATGGTGGCGTGGTGCAGTTGTGCAAAGTATTTTTTCTATCTCTCTCTCCTATGTCTTATATCTATTACGCTTATAATGGCAAAAAATAATGTAAATACATCCATTTGAATATGAAGAAATAACATAACTTAAGTGTCAGTTATGTTATTTTTTTCGGCTGTTTCAAACTCAATTGAGATACTTTTTGACACGCAAAATGAGTCATTACATTATTTTTTTTTCTTATTGTGAGCTCAATTTGGATTTGACCTTATGATTGACCTCATGAGATAACTTGGGGCTTTGCCTAGACCAAAATACTAGTTATTGTTCATAATAGTACATAGACACCATCTAAAATTCTAAAGTGAGAAAATTTATTGAATAGAGCAAGTAAATAAATATTAATATCTTTAAAATCCTTAATTTTATCTTCTCTCAATAATTTTCAGGAAAATAATGATATACTCCTTACGTTCCATTATTTCCTGTATGTATTTTTTTGGGTGTTCTAAAATGTTATGCATGTTTATAATAATAGCTAGCACATATTCCCTCTATCTCTATTCTTTTGCCCCATTTGACTATGTGTTAAGATAAGGAAGAATATCTTAGGAATATATTTGTATTGATATTATGTTATCTTTATGTAGGATAAGATTTACTAAATATTTCCTAGGATAGATATGAATTAGATTCCTACGTTGATTAGGTTTCTAAGATATGTGTATAAATATTACCTCGAACGATTTCTCCATGCTTTGAGAGAAAAAGATGAGACTTTGAGATTATCTTGACACTATGCATGATGTACAAGATGCAATTTAAAAAATCTGTATCTTTATTTTCAACACGTAAAAATTATAAAAATGTGATAGTAATGAAATATCAATGAGACGACTCTAACAAGACCACTTATGACTATAGAATAAAATTTTCTCACTTTAGAATTTTTAGATGTTGTCTATTAATATTTATTTACTTGCTCTATTCAGATCAATAATGGATGGAAGGAGTATATCATTTTCCTGAAAATTTTATTCAATAGAGCTAGTGCGATAGGTGAAAGAATAAAAAATTACATGCAAAATGTAAAAGTAGTTGAGAGAATTGGAGGAGACAGAATATGAAATTAATAAAATATAATTTATGTTGGGTCGACTAGTTGAAAGAAATGAATTAAATATTGTAAAAGGTTTCTAAATAAGGAAATAGAGAAAGTATTTAATAACGGCCGAAAAAGGAAAGTGGAGCTAGTATTTAAAAATGGAGGGAGTAGTAGTAACACAAAGTCTTATATATGGCTGGCCACACAATGTGGCCATCCATCATGAGAGTTACTTTGTTAGTGTTATATATAGGAGTTACCCGTTCAGTTTACAGGGGTTACTCCATCAGTGTTATAGGGGTTACTTAAGGATTACTCGGTCAATACTCAATACTATTGGGGTTACTCGGTTAATGTTATAGGGGTTACTTGGTTCTTTTTCAAATTGTCACATGGTATGGCCAGTCATACACAAGATGCACTGATGCAGTAATTAATGGTTAGAGTTTTCAAAATTTGACCCAAAAATGGCAATGGAGAAAACATATAGGGACGGAGGGAGTAATTATTACTTACCTTTTATATTTTCCATACAAGATACATGTACACCAAAAAAATCATTACTTACTTTTTATCTTTTTTTCATACAATATTATCTACTTTTTATTATTCCCATACAATATTCTCTACTTTTGCCATACAATATTCTTTAATTATCGTGTTTTTTGAGAATTGACACAAAATAATATGTTTTTTGAGTACATATTTCTTAGGGCTATGTATAAGAAGCTTAAAACGAAAAATTAATTATTAATGAAATATCTTCATTAATTACACTAATTTGCGATTATGCATTCCTAAACTAATACCAAATGAGTAAAAATATTTTTGATACTTATTTGTGGCCTTAAAGGCTACATACAAAATTAACCTAATTCCTTTTAATTAACCCTGAGAATATAGCCAAAAACAATCTCTCTCTCTCCCCCACAACCCCCCTGAATATGGATGGGGAAATGATTTCATATGGAAATATTTTCATTAACTTAATCACGCTCATATATACTTTCGTAGATTCCTCTATCCCAATTTGTTTTACAATACATAAGTTATTCAAATGTATCTGAAGAATTTCTTATATATATTAGGAAAAATTGAAAAGAATAATCCCACCTTTTGCCCATCTGCTCAAAATAATCCCACCTTTGCGTATTCCAGAAATAATCCCACCTTTATACCCTATCTTCTCAAAATGAGCCTTTTACCGATTTATAAAATTAGTAACCTGTTTTAGAAGGTGACTTGACATTTGTCATCTTCTAATTGGTCCTATTTTTAAATAATTTAAAAAAACGAAGAAATTAAAAATAAACAAAAAAAAAAAATCTCAGCTCCCAGCCCGACCACCCCCTTCACCCCTGGACTGAAGCGGCCCGCCACCGCTGAAACAACCAGGTATTTTTTTTTATTCTTTTTATTTTTTAAATCTCTCCTTCAAACCTCCCACCCCCCCCCACTCCTTCAATGGAAAATCCCCATGACCACCACCACCAAACCTCCATACTACCATTACACCCATCAGATCTCACCTCGAACTCCCAACCTTACCCCCACAAAACGCCCTAATTCTCTTTCTTCTTCCCCAACCCCTTGAGCCGCCCTTGCCTGAACAGCTACCACCGTCCTTGCCCCAGCCCCACCCCGCCGGTCTAAACCAAGCCCACCACCCGAACGACCACCCACATCTTGCCCTTAACTTGATAATTATTGTTGTTCATGGTTAATTTATAACCCCTACATTTGATTTATTTTTGTTTATTGTGAAATAGGGTAGATGTGAATTTTTTTTGGGTATTTGAAAAAAGTGAGGTTTTTATTGTTTAATTTAAGTTTGTAATGGAATAATTCTGGGTTTTGTGTGTTAGAATTTTGGGCAAAAGCTGCAATCTACCTTGCTTGAATGTTCCATTAATTGAAATGATAACGGGGGTTGGTGGAGTACGCATCAAAAAGGAGAAGCGACAAGGAGGTGAGCATTGAGCAGGGAGGCAGGGTAATGTGAGAGAGTGGTGCCGTGACAAGCTCGTGGCCGTGGTGGAGAACTAGGGAGGGAAGGGGGAGGAGAGAAGATTGTTTGGGTGGAGGTCAAGTGGTGCCGTTGTGGTGTAGGTGGAGTTCTGTGGTGAAAGGGGGTGGGGATAGGAATTAGAATTTTAGGAGGAGGTCAGGTGGTGGTGTGGAGGTGGTTATGGTGGTTGACATGGATGGAGCCATGGAGGAGGTGAGGTGAGGAAGAGGGATTAGAGGAAAATAAAAAAAATTAAAAAAAAAATCTAACCTGTTTTACAGGTTGAAGGTAAAAAGGTTCATTTTGAGAATATGAGGTACAAAGGTGGGATTATTTCTGGAATTCGCAAAGGTGGGATTATTTTGAGTAGATGGGTAAAAGGTGGGATTATTCTTTTCAATTTTTCCTATATATTATCCATTGAACACATACAAGATTCTTATTCCATTTTTTCTCTTTTATTTTCCTTTGATTCTAACTAGTTATTCTCTTATCCTTTCAAATTTAACTGCGGACTACATAATTTTTTTTTTTTTCAATTCTTTGATAAATTTGCACTGTTCCCTATCCCTTATCATCTAAAAAGATGCTTTAGGTATCAACCAATCAAAAAGATTAACCTTGCTCTTTCTCACCGAATCTTAATTTTATCTGTAAAAAAAACCATAAATTTATTTTTTGTTCGTTTTGACATTAACCAATCGACATCCAAGAGCATAATAACTCTTAAATCTGGATAGTATCTGTGTTAGGGCCTACATTTAGTATGTAGATTATATAGCTAACGGGCCTAGTTCTTGTGCCCTAATCTCTTGTATATATATATTTGTGCATACCCCTAATACGAAATACAACACTCTATTCACTCTACTCTCTCTAATTTGACATGGTATCGGAGCCAAAATCAATCTAAACCCTAAAACTCTACAATTTTTTTTTACATTATCAATCTCAAACTCTAAGTTCTAATCTCTTAAATCAATTTCTATTTCTTTCTTTATGGTTCGATTTTCTAATTCCTAATCTCCACTACCAATTTCTATTTCTTTCTTTCTGGTTCGATTTTCTAGTTCCTAATCTCCACTACCAATTTCTAATTCCTATTCCCAAAGTTCCATTTTTGTTTTCTTTCGGATTGTAGTTTGTAGGTGCTGCATATTTGCACTACGTGGATTGCTATTCTACTGCTTCGACTACCGTCCTTGATCAATATAACACTATGTCTTCTTCTATTAAATCGGATCACACTGCTAATTTGTCCCCTAGTACCTTTCTACATAAGCGACGACAACATTCGAATTTATATTGCACCCATTGTAATCGTATGGGACACGATTATGACGGTTGTTTTCTTGTTCATGGCCTCCCTGACTGGTGGTTGAACAAATATGGCCGATCGTCTTCTTTGCCCGCTGCAACTCTGCCTCCTACTGCCCTCTCTGCTGCTGTCTCCGCGGGTGTTGCTACAACCCGGAAAGTTGCGGCTGCTCATTCCTATATTGTTGCTGCTCGCCACACTACTCCCTCTTCTATGGCTACTACTCCTATTTTGGGCGGTGTATTCGATCCCTCTACGGATTCTATTGATGATAATTATCTCGCATTCTCATGGATCATTGACACCGGTGCATCCCATCATGTTACCGGCAATGACAATTTTTTACAAGATGCTCACTCTATTATTTCTTGTCCTGTTGGTCTTCCCGATGGTGCTCAGGCCATGGCTACTAAGGAGGGTCGTGCTGTCTTGGCAGATGACATTACTCTTGAACATGTTCT